ATATCCCAACCATGTTCTTTTGCTATATCTTCTACTATTAATGCATAATACATTTTAATGTCGTCATCAAGGTCATTCCATTGTATGTTTATAAACCCATCATTTTCCATTTGTATATGTGTATGTCTTGCATATTCTCTTAAGTTAAGGATCGCTTTCTTTCTAAACTCTGCATCTGGATACCCTTGGTGTTTTTCATAATACAGTTGATCTATCAATGCTGCAAGTTTGTCATTTAAATAGACTTTTGAAGGGACATTCGTTGCATCTGCCATATCTTTCATGCGCCTAGAACTTGTCAAAGAGTGTCTTTGACGCGCCTCAATTGCCTTTTTGGCGCTGCTCCTTATGTCCCTCTTTCCATGCTTATTAGGTTGTGCAATTCTCTTGCTGATCCTTTTTTGCAATCCGTCCTCTGAGCCTTGATCTAAAGATTAGTTGCAGTATGTTAATGAGTAAATGAGTATAGTAAAATACATTTTTAGTCTTACCTGGCTCAGTAGATTGTGCAGGAGAATTGGTGCCTGTAACCAATTGATTAACAACTGTAGACAATTGCTGAAGGTTGTTATTCATTTGAGCAACAGAAGACTGCAATTGTTGAAGGCTGAACATAATCATGTTCAGAGTGACCTGGTCGTTGTTGTTGGAGTTGTTGGAGTTGCTGAATTTCGTGTTCATTTCACTCATTTTGAATTTTATAGTAAATGATAATCAGTAAAAGAACTGTAAAGAGAAGTATGCTCCAACTTACCTTTTCTCAAAGTAACTGTACTCTAGAAAATACTGGAACAAATTCATTTATGGAAAATCATGAGCACTGACGAAAGATTTTGAAAATCATAGAGAAATCTACTAAAGAAATACCTGTCAATTGAAAAACACTCGTTCAATTTTCCCTTTACCTTTCTGTTTTAAATATTTACCATCTTAAAAATGAACTCTAACAACAACGCTTCTGTCTCTGTTCAAGCAAGAAAGAGAATGAGACTCCACAAAAACCCTAATGGTCCTAAATGTCCGTGTGGCAGGCGCTTTGACAGTCTTGCTCGATTAAACGAGCATGCTGTCATCCATCGTGCATCTTTCAGCATTAATCCGATTATTGATATTCAAAACATTCCTACAGATTTCTATGACAACAATGATCCTATGGAAATTGAAGGTAAATTCATTAGTTCACCCAACATATATATTTAAACTAACATTTACATTTAGATTGTCCATTAGAATTTAAATCTTCGCATACCACTTCTGCTGAACTTGGTGCTGCCCATGTTTATCAATGCAAGCCCATAAATGAAAACACGTTCAACTATGTCCAGCAAATGAACATAAGATTGAATAACTTACTTGAATCCTATGGCGCCTCTCGTGAACTTCAGCGTGATGTTATTCGATTCATCAACACAGTCATTCGTGATAAAGATCGATTTGGTATGTTGCTTATAACGAATACAATTGCATGCTGATTTGCTAACTGTTATATCCTCTTATAGATGTTAATGATCGCTTTCATTTTCCTGAAACAACTGATAACCTTATGAGATCCACTCTTCCCATTAAAGCCTATAACTATGATGTATGCAAGAATGGATGCAAAATGTTTGAAGTTGAAAATGCTGAAGATACCAGCTGTGAGTACTGTGGTGAACGTAGATATGAAGATGAAGACCTTAAAGAACCAGTTGCCAGTATGAAGCTCCTTTCTGTTGGTGATTATGTATCAAATATGCTTGCCAAAGAAGATACAAGACAAATGTTCAAATATAGATCCACTCGCGACACTGAAATTAATGTATATAAAGATATATTCGACGGTGATGTCTATAAAGATCTTGTAAACAAAGGCTTTTTTGATGGCGAATTGGATGTTGCTCTGGCACTTTTCGTCGATGGATTCACTACCCAGCATAAAGGAAAAAGAACTATGACAATAATTCATTGCGTAATTCTAAACGTTGATCCTTCATCAAGGTAAAATATTCTCTGCATTATATGTTGACTTTACATTTTTCTAACGTTCACTTCATGTAGATATACTGAGGAGTTTACTCTACAGCTTGGCGTGATCCCTGGTCCTAAAAAACCCAAAGATATTGATTCATTCCTTCAGCCAATCGTTAAAGAACTGAAAAAACTTAGTACAGATGGTCTAGCCATTGTTGATGGTGATG